TATATATATATGCTCAAAATTTCATGAAAAATTGTCTTGTTTGTTTGTGATTCGTTTGTACTGGTTTGTGCCGTAAAAAAATTGTTTGTGCTGCTTCGGTTTTTAAGATATTAAAAAAAATATTGAATGTTCATTTTCTGAGGTCACTCAGCCCCCCACATGCTCCAAATTTACCCCAAATATTCTCGTTTGTTTGTGCTTTGTTTGTGCAGGTAATAGTTTCATTTGTGCTGCTTCGGTTTTTAAAATATTAGCACTAACGAAACATTTACCTGCACAAACCAGCACAAAAAAAGCACAAACAAACGAGACTATTTGGGGTGAATTTGGAGTATGTTGGGGGGCTGAGTGACCTCAGAATGACCTATAAATATTATTTTAATATCTAAAAAACCAAAGCAGCACAAACTAATTTTTTTCCAGCACAAACAGGGCACAAACGATTGAGACTATTTTGCCGACGTTTTGCGTTGGGTGGGGGGCCAACTTCACCAAGGTCCAATAAGGTGCCACAAGCAGGACCTGCTCCTCATCCTTCCTGACCTTGCACAGCGTCTGTACGAGAAGGCTCACTGGGGAAAATGCATACTTGCGCAGGCCCCGTGGCCAGCTGTGTGCCAGCGCTTCCGTGCCAAGTGTTCCCTCGGTCAGGGAGTAAAACAACTGCCAGTGAGAGGTCTCTGGAGAGGCAAACAGATCTAGCTGAGCGGCTTCTGAAACGAAACTCCAAATCATCTGGACCGTCTGGGGATGGAGTCTCCATTCTCTGGGGAGCACAGTTCGTGACAGCTCGTCGGCTGCACGGTTGTGCAGACCCGGAATGTGAATGGCACGAAGCGACCTCAGATGTTTCTGACTCCAGAGGAGGAGGTGGCGGGTGAGTTGCGACATGCGACGGGAGCATAGACCACCTTGTCGGTTGATGTACGCAACGGTCGCAGTATTATCCGTGCGGACCAGCACATGCATGCCCTGCAAGCGCCCTCTGAGACGGTTCAAGGCAAGGCGTCCTGCTAACAACTCTAGGCAGTTGATGTGCCAGTGCAGTTGGGGGCCCGTCCAAACCCCCAATACTGGATGCCCATCGTACGTGCCCCCCCCCAGCCAGTGGTGGAGGCATACGTGTAAACCACAGCATGCCTGGAGACCTGTTCCAGGGGCACTCCTGCTCGGAGAAATGCAAGGTCTGACCACGGGGTGAAGGTTTGGCGGCAGGCCAGTGTGACTTGGACCCGGTGAGTGCCACGTTGCC